CAGCCTGTTATGAAAACCAGAATGTTGCACAGAAAGAGAGTTGCAGGTTGGATTGCTGTGCATGTCTGGTTTCAGTTCCATCAATCGAGTCCTGGCCCATTCTGCCAGTTGATGTTAGGCAGAGCAGGGCCTTCCACACAGTTTGTTACCCCTGCCTGTCATGGCTGCAGTGTAAAGTTTTGGAAATAAGCAAGTGACTCTAAATCTTTGAAGGGACCTGGCCTTGTTGGTGGGGATAAGGTGTGAGAATTGAAGCGAACCATCACCCAATTTATAAACATCGCAAGTATGTCAAGGGAATAAAAATAAAGTACCGAAAACACGAAGAAAGAATTACGGATGAATGGAGGAATTGCCTCTTACATTTGTTTCTTTGAGCTCAGTGAAGATAAGACTATGAACGTGTCATGTACTTTTATATGATGTATCTTTATTTAATGAAAAACAAATTTTAATGTTTATTTTTGAGAGAGGCACAGGGACAGAGACAGACAGAGAGAGACAGAGTGTGAGATGAGGAGGGCCAGAGAGAGGGAGACAACAGAATCTGAAGCAGGCTCCAGGGTCTGAGCTGACAGCACAGAGCCTGATGTGGGGCTCAAACCCACATCCTGAGACCTTGACCGGAGCTGAAGTCAGATGCTTAACCAACTGAGCCACCCAGGTGCCTAGATGTATCTTTGAAAAGAGTACATGTGCCTCCTCTTCCTCAGGTAAACTGAGAGTCTGGAAGGACCAGCACATGTTAAGAGGATCTAACAGGAAAAAAGGATTTGCCATAGAAATTACCTTACTCTGTTCACTTTGGACAATGTTCCATTGACTACGACTTGCCTTTCTATTTTGAGAAAATAATTTATGAGAGAAAGAAAAAAAAAACTTTTACAGGAAAGGGTAGGAGAATCAAACCTTTCATCATGACTCACTATTTTCCTTTTTCGTTTTTAAACTTATGGACATTCTTCTTTCAAGTAATTTCAGGTTTTTCCAGATTTCATTTTCCTTTCTGTGGATTTAAGATAGCAAACAGTGTTACCACTTGCCTTGATGATTTTATTTGTCTAATGGTTTTACATGTATGATACCAAGAGGCTGACTCTTATTATGAAGAATTATGAAGAGGAATTTTCCTTATCTGATGAATATACATTGACTATTCCTCATGTGCCTAGCACTGTGCTGGAGGCTAGAAAGAATACAGAAGTGATGTTCTTGATTTAGTACTGTTCCCTGCACTGGAAAAACAAGTGACTTCCCCCTCCCTCTAGGCATTATCTATTTCTCTAAATCATTCTTAGTCTAACACTTAGACCAGGAAGCTTGGGACATGGCTATTTATGAAGAAAGGATTACTCTTGTTTTTCTTCAGCTTGGGACTTTATAAGGTTGGAAAATAGATTTATCCTTATGTCTAATATAATTTTTCTTGAAGAGATTGAAATGTTTTTGGATTTCCATGTGTTGCTTTTGATTGTGGCAAGTTTTCTTAGGCCCAAGAATGTTTATATGAAATGTTTGCTGCCAGGTAGACTACTCTTCTTCAACTGAATTCTATGAGCATGTGATGTGGTAGGGATTCCACACAAGCCCAACTCACAAACTTAGTTAATGCTGACAGCAACTTTGAAAAAAAGTCAAATTTTTTACATTCATTGTTGAGTTTGACGGAATCATTTTTTTTTTCCTTTTTCCTTTTTCTTTTCTTTTGGTGTAAGAGAACACAGAGCAGTAGTCAATGTAGCACAGATGCCTTTTGGACCTAAACTATAGCTCTCAGGTCCAAATTCTTGCATTGTGCATGTTTGCTGTTTGATCTTGGGCGAGTGACTGAACTGCTCTATGCCTCAAGTTCTTTATTTGTGAAATGTTCATAAAAATGACACCTATCTCATGGGGCTGTTAGGGAAATTAAACCACTTGAAGTTGGCAAAGTGCTTAGAGTGGTGCATGCCATTTAAGCACCATGCGAGTATTTTTTTCATCTATTTTGATTCTTGGAAAAGGCCAGGGCTAGTGCTGGGGAAGTAGGGTGTTTGCTTGGTCCCAGTGGATTCTTGTCAGTGGTTGCCTGGTTCCTAACAAAAGATTTTTATTTCAGTGTGGGTTACGATGTTTTCCTCTTAATGGCAAAATTACTTCTTGGTTAAAACTGGATTCACTGGATATGGATGTTTAGAGACCATTTGTTGAAAAAAAATTTTTTTCATTTTGCTCTATTTAGGTTTTCTTTTTTATTCACAAGCTGTGTTTGGCTCCAGTGCATGAAATCCATTTCCTTGCTCATTTGGACTTCAAATTATTAAACAATTAAGGTGTAGATACCTGTGGTGGGGTTGACTTATTTAAAATGGAACACAATGCAATTTGAAAATAAAGTTCACACAGATGAATTGAAATCAGGGGCACCTGCCATTGTTATCAGACCTGACCCAGATCTTTCCACCAGAAGTTTGCTTCTAAACAGCACATATTCTCTTTATAATAGAGTGAATGACAGGCTTCTGACACCAGTGGAACACTGATTGCTGGGAGGCCACCCAGCAATGATATAGTATCGGTTTGTTTTTTCTGGAGAGGTATTTCCAAACAATAGTCATTTGGGAGTTACAACAGGCATAGAAAGTAATACTGAAAAGGAGAATTTGATGAATTATCGTGGATCTGTTGATAAAGTGAGTAAATTGAGCTTGATACGCTTTTGTAGATAACTGAGTATCTGGGAGATCAATTGTGAAAAAACTCTAACTAGAAAGAATTAATTGCAAAATTCCTCCTATCAATTTTGGTTCTCATGTGTCCTATGTAATTGGCTTTGAAGCTTTTTAAAAAGTGACTTTTGGATGTCTATTTTGTGTTCTTTTTATGATGTGTTTAACTTCATATTTTAAGAAAAATGAAAAATAACCTTAAAATTTGACTTGTAATAAAAGTTGCTTAAGGATTATATATATTTTAAAATAGTCAATAAATTGTTTTGAAAGTTTTCTTCTGTGAACTCAGTTTCTAAGTTTATGCCTCTCATTTTTTCATAACAATATGAAACTCTTTGCAAGTAGACTGACCTTTTGATTGTTATGATTTTTCAACTAGCAATTATTAGATAGTAAGGGAGACAAATGTACTAACCTACAAATGTATTATGTTGGATTCCTAACAATAGACTTAACTGATAAAAGCAATTTAATATATGTTGTGTTAATAGCTAAACCTCCAAAGCCCCTAATCTCCCATGGAAATATTGCTTTGTAGAACAAAATCCAATGAGAAGTTCTGGGATTCCAGAGTGAATTTGTACATTCCTTAGGGGCATTTTTGCAAGGGAGGTTGTTGTGTTTTAAAGGTAGTTGATAAGAGACCTGCACCACCAACCCCAGACCTGCACCACCAACCACCATCGTGCATTAGTCTATAGAAGGTATTTGGGTGTACGTATTCCTGTACCACTCGGTACCACCATTTAGCCAAGGGAAGTTTCTGACCATTTGCAGCATACATTATAAATCAGGATGTCACTACCAGACAATCAGATTTGAACATTCCATGAACAAAGTAGCCTATATCCCCTAGGAATAGATCACTTAACTATGTTTATGTCATGCTGTTGATATGCCTGCATTTACACAAGTCAGGATAGCACATTGTTTATTTCTCTTAGGAGTAGATAATTGATCTGTATATTTACCTAATTTTGGCTTAATTAGCCAATAACTGAAATAGGTAATTTAGCATGATCACTTAAATACCTGGGGAGAATAATTGTATTCTTTCAACTCCCCAAATTACTCCTCTACTGCGTTGGGCTTGTGAAAAAATATTTCTGCATCTTCTCCAAGTTGGGCTGATATTGGCTGTTTTCTTCAAAAAAGCTTCCTACTTGGCTCAGAATACATGGGGAAGTCACTGGTCAGATATTTGGGGAAACTCAAAGGATTTCCAACTGCCAAATTAGTCCCTTGGGGAGACCCAGGATAATTGCTGGTCTTATTGGTTGAATAAATAAACTTGTCTAAGTTATATTCTCTTTCTGGTATCACTAGGGGATATCACTGCTGTTTGGGAATGCAGTAACTTTGGGGGCCAAATTTGTATACTCTGGTTGGGTACAGAGATTTTTCTTTTTCTTTTTTTTTTTTTTCTTTCTTTTTGGCTTAAAAAGCAAGCAGAGATGAGCTTACAGATCTGGCATCCTAAAATTAGTTCAACAGAAAGCCAAAATATTGGTCTGAATCTATGAATGTAGGACCATAAATTGCTGTGTATGATTTAGTAATAAAAAGGGACTTAAAAAAACAAAGGGCGAAGAACTGATAAAAGGCACAATCAAGCAAATGAGAAGTTACTCATGATGTTATCAATCAGAGATAACCACCAATAACATTCTGGTCTTTTTCTACACTTTTTTCTCCATATCTTTATCTTTGTTAGATAATATAAGTTTTTATCCAAATCATCTAGAAGTCTACATAATTATTTTAATGAGTTCTTAATATGTTAATATAAAGATATAAGAAAATTTTATCTTTTTTTGAAATTATTGAACATCTAGGCAGCTTGCAATTTATTATAAGGAATTCTGTGATTAAAATCTGCATATGTAAATCTTTGTCTGATTCTCTGATTACTTCTTTAGGGGGAAAGGAGTGGGGATACCTAAAAATAAAGGAACTCAGAAAAGCACTTTTAAAAAGCAAGATACGTTGTTGTCAAATTGCTTTCCAGATTGGTTACGTTGAGGTACACTCTTCTCAGCTGTGTACAAAAATGACCATCTTCCTGCAGATCTTGAAACAGATAACATAATAATCATTATAAGAATGTTTTCTTAATTTTATAAACAGTTTGCATTCTTTTGATTATTAATTCATTGAAAAAATTTTCATTTGTATAAAACACTTGTATTTCTTTGATTGTATCACTCAGTTCTCGACACTTGTATTTCTTTGAAATATCTGTGTGGGTAAATTTTTAAACCGCTTTTCTTTTGCATGTGGTGTTACCAGAATGTGACAGTGAACATTTTCGCTGTGAAGACGGGCAGTGTATCCCTGTATCCTGGAGGTGTGATGGGACCAGAGACTGCCTGGATGACACGGATGAAGCTGGTTGCTGTAAGTGAGGAGGGGCCGGACCAGGCTCTGTTTTGAGGAACCTAAGTGTTTCCTTGTGAATTCAGCTGTACCAAAGACAAAGAATTGTACCTTTAGTGATAGATTCAGGACTGGGCTCAAGTCTTGAGTGAATAGAGAACTGATGGCATTAATGATTCTTTTAGTTCGTTTGGAGGAAGGGGTTCAAATCACATCCATTTCTATCTTACCCTTTTCCCATGATGTTGATATGGAAACAGATTAGTGTTTCTAAAGCCTATAATATAAGTATTTCAGATTATTCACTCTGGAAATTTTGTGCACCAACTGTGATTTGTAATTCAAGGAAGAGTCTGTTTTTGTATAAAGGACATTGTGTAATTTGTGCAAATTACACAAAGAGATCACAGAACAGGTTAGTGTGGTCTTATGTTTTAAAAAATTATGTTTAAAAACACAATAATATTGTAGACCCAAAATTTAATAATATAATCCCTTTCACATATATTCACATGTATTTCTTCATTTAGTTCTCTCAGTATTCTGAGATAGGTTTCAGATTAGGAAACAGGCGTAGTGAAGTTGAATCATTCATTAAAATCCTCCTTCCTGCACAAATTTGCTTTCCCAGCTTGCCGTAGGTGATCAATCACACTACTGCAATTTCATTCATTCTGATTAGTGAACACACAAGGGTTATCATCTGAAAACCAAGAAATAGGGGAAAGATAAATTTTGATTTCAATTGTTGGCCATCCTGTGGCACAAAAGAAGAAACTTTGGTGTAGTGTTTGGATCGTGATGCACTTGAAAATGAGAAGGGTGGGGCGCTTCTCAAATTTCCATGCACAAATGGAACAACCTGGGGAGCTGGTTGATGTGCGGATTTTGCATTTGGAGTGGGACCTAAGATTCTGCATTTACCAGCTCCCATGTGATGCTCATGGTGCTAGTCCGTGAATCACATTTTTTAAAATGTTTTATTTATTTCTGAGAGAGAGAGAGAGAGAGAGAGACAGCATGATCAGGGGAGGGCCAGAGAGAGAGGGAGACACAGAATCTGAAGCAGGCTCCAGGCTCTGAGCTAGCTGTCAGCACAGAGCCCAACGCGGGGCTCAAACCCACGAGCCGTGAGATCATGGCCTGAGCCGAAGTCAGATGCTTAAGCGACTGAGCCACTCAGGCACCCCCCGTGAATCACATTTTAAGCAAGGGAGTACTTCTATTTGCAGAGACATGATCATGTGCTATCTGTTTGTTTGCTTCCTATGGGACTGCTGAGTTCATTTTTAGATTAAACACCAGAGCAGAAAAGCAAGAACTATGTGTTCTGGAATAAACAGTTCTACCCACAACTCTTTAGAGATTGTTAGTGCAATAACAATGTTCCATAACAATCCGTACCAACGACAGTGGTGGTAGCAGCTAAGATTATACTTCACTTGCACACAAATTATATTTAATTTATTTTTTTTGTAGCAAATTATGAGATATAGTCCCCATTTTATGGTGCATATGTTGAGGTTCAGAGAACCCTCCAAAGATCCTAAGGCAAGAAAATTATAGAAATAATAATTATTCCATTCTGGGTCTTCATTTCTGAATAGCATGTTTTTTTCAGCTCATCATGATGCTTTACTATTAGTTATTACAAAACATTTCAAATAGTTTAACAATAACTCATGGTTAATTTGTATTTAAATTAAAATTTTAATTTAATAATTTTTGTCATGGCTTTGTATGGATGTGTTTTGGCTGTTTGTTTTATTCTTTGTGTTTTTGTATTGATTTGCATCATCAGTTTGTTGTGATGCCCTTGCTGAGATTATTTGGCTTTGAATGCTGATTAGAGTCCACAGATTCTTTTATAAGATTGTTTACTATTTACTATCAAATATATTAAGCAAGGGTTGACACAGATTGTTTTGAAGTATGTTTTGAAGCTTGTTGGTATGATAGGGTGGGTGTTTACACAATGAGTTGAGTCCTTTTTCTGGTTTGTTTTAGCTCCCCCTTCTTGCAGCTCAAACCAGTTCCTGTGTCAGGCTGAAGGTCTGTGCATCCCTAACTTCTGGGAGTGTGACAATGACCAGGACTGTGAGGATGGCTCCGATGAACATCAACATTGCCGTAAGTGTTTACAGAGAAATTTTGTTTTGGCCCCCGGCACATAAAATCGAACAATAATAATGAGATGATTCTTTATAAATGGTGAATTGGAGCTCAAATCACAGGGGGAACCTATGCTGGCAATCTCACTCAGGGTGAGATGATATCGAAAGTGTGAATGAGCTGAAGAATTCTACAATATTCCTCAGCAATTTGGAAACGGGACAAGTTCTCAGTATGTAATTAAGACTGTATCACACTCAGTAAAGAAATGAAACATTTATTGGTTTCTTTGGGGGGGGCAGTCTTCATATGTGTGGTTGGCAGCTGAACAGTTCTTTGGTGTCCTGCGGTGTGCGCTGCATACTAACCATCTACCCCTCCTGCTTCGGTGTTAAACTACCTTCTCTTTGATTAAGTGGCAGTGGGGCTCATAGTGAGGTTTGTTGGAAGCATTGTTGGTTGTTGTAAAAGTGATTACTGGTATAGTCTGCATCAGATGAGATGAGCTGTAACAAGGAGGGAAGGAGGGAATGAGGGAATGAGGGAATGGCAATGAGGAAGACCTTGGTAGCTGTTGCTTTCCTGAACACTGAGGGAGTTCAGGACAGGAAACTGGAAGAAACTGCCATTCTAATTTCTTTGGGATCAACCTGTAAAAGTTTGAAGTGGGCTTGAAAATAGTTTTGGATGAGAGAGGAATCTTGGGTAAATATTCGATGGCAGCATATGAGAAATACGCCATGTGTAGCATTTCTTTGTTTTTTCTATTAAGGATAATTGTATAATTAAAAATTATTCCTGTATCAGTGAGGATGTTTTTGATTGCAAAGAATGAAAAGCCCATCTCATAAAAGTTAAGCAAAGGGGAAATTTATTACCTTACACACTAAGAAGCTAAATGTATTGTTGTTCCAGGGTTGATGAATTCCCAACACAATAAATTATCGACCAATTTTCTCTCACTTTTCTGCTCTGCCATCATTATTTAGCCTGTTGGCTTTTTGTGATGGCATGAAAGCTGCAGAAGTCTTGGAATTTGCATTGTTATAATTCTAATGTCAACTTCTGTGTGTGTGTGTCTGTGTGTGTGTGTGTGTGTCTGTGTGTGTGTGTGTGTCTGTGTGCGTTTAAGACAACCCCACCCCAAGCCCCCAAAATAAAAAACCAAAGACCTTTTAGACATCTAGGTTAGACTGAGATGGAAATTAGAGAGCAGATATCTGACCGTAAGGAACCACTTCAGGCTCTTGACCCCAATTGTCCTGAGGAAGAGTCTAGCTCTGATCACTGTGTGGCATTTACCTTTAAGTCTCCCCTACATTTTGTTTCATTAAATACACATCCCACAGATCATAGACATCTATCATCACTTTGTGTTTGATTTTAAGAGTCAGCCAAGATCCTTTTGGCATTTTTACAGTCATTGTCCAAAAAGATCAAAGAAGAAACAGATGTTTTTGATGGCTACTTCATGTGAGAACTTGTTTAGTCATTATATGACTAGCAATGGAGATTCTGTGGTCTTCAGTTGGTCCTGGATTCATTTATAAGAACTTGGAATTTAGCCCAGGACTTTTGAGTCCAGCATTGACTGAGAACTCTTTTCAGTAGAGCCAAGGGTCTTTTGAGGAAAAGAATAGGAATTCTCAAAATACCCAGTTTGACTTTGGTTTAAACCTAAAATGAAGACTGTATAAACAGCTGGTTAGGGCTTGTCAGTGTTGGTCATGGGGTCTTTCAGCAACAAAGTGATGGTGATATTTGGGACAAAGTGATCAAGGAGAAACCAGCAAACTGTGTTAGGGGTGTGGAGGGTGGTGGTGGTGACAAATGACAATCTTGAGACCTTGAGCTAATCAAGGCCAAACAGGAGCATGGAATGTCCAGATGAGATCCAGTTATGTTTCAGGATGTGATGTGGAACCCCAAAAGGGGACAAGCAGATCTGAGAAAGGGAGATGGGAGATGATCGTTCAGAAGTAGTGAAGAGAGGAATTAAAAGTGCCAGGCATAATAGGACACAGGAAGAAATCTTTGTTTGTAGGAAATCTGTCTGCGCCAAAACTATTTTCTGGCCAACCCCTAAAAGGTCCTAGGGGAAAGAAGGGATGACTCGCAGATAGTGAGTACTGAATGAGAACAGGATGGGGCTAGATTGGGAATCTCTGGAGAGCAGTGGATATGATTCAGCTCAGATCCCTAAGGCTTGTTGTTTTGTTTAGCAGATAGTAGGTTCTTGACAAGTGAGTACTGAATGAATTAATGAGTGATGAGTTATTTATCTTTTGGCTAGATATACCATTTTGGTTCTATTTTCCCTTGATCCCCACACAAAGTAGGAAGAAAGGTGAGCTGTGGATTGTGATACAATGTAATGGATAACCCCTTGCCAATAATAACATTTACAGAGGGATGTGGACTTCTAAGAACAACCACTTGGGAAAAGAGACTGGAAAAAGCATTATAGCGGAAATTTATTTATTTAATTTTTAAAAATATTTATTTTTGAGAGTATGATCAGGGGAAGGGCAGAGAGAGAGAGAGAGAGGGAAAGGGAGAAAGAGAATCCTAAACAGGCTCTTAGCTGTTTGTACAGAGCCTAAAGTGGGGCTCAATCCCACACACTGAACTGTGAGATCCTGACCTGAGCCGAAATCAAGAATCGGATGCTTAACCAACTGAGCCACCCAGGTGCTCCTATAGCAATAATTTATAAGCAATGTTACATGCTACTTTAAATGAGTATGGATTTCACAGTGTAATTCTTGCATTTTTGATGTTATAAAATTCTTTATTAGACATCCTTTAGCTACAGATAGAATATGCCACCACTATATTCACTAAGGTCACCAGGGAATACTTGATTGTTAAGCAGAGTGGGCATTTTTCCTTTCTCAAAGTTGGATGGACTTTTCTGTTGCACTTGACTTTGGCAATCATTCCCTCCTTCTTGACACTACTGTCTTAGCTGCCATGACTCCTCATTGTCCTGGTTCTTTTCTGAACTGCTTTGATCATTCCATTTTGTATTCTTCTTCTACTCAGCCCATGACTATGGCTGTTGCTTAGTGCCCTGCAGTTAGCAACTCCTCTTACTCAATGCTTTTCCAGGATAATTTCAACCAACCTCATGATTTTGATAAATCTAGATGGGCTAGTGATAACACAAATCTATGCTTACTTATGACCCAGATTTCTTGCCCACACATCAGTCTTGCATATTCAACTGCCTGTTGTAGATCTCCAGGATGCCTCTAATTCAAGGTGTCCCAAGTGGGATTAATAATCTCTCCTGAACTGGTTTGTTTGTTTACTTATCTAACATGGATTATTCTTAAAATTTTTGTTAAATATTTATTTTTGAGAGGGAGAGAGAGAGAGAAAGAGCATGAGTAGGGGAGGGGCAGAGAGAGAAGGAGACAAAGAATCCGAAGCAGGATCCAGGCTCTGAGCTGTCAGCACAGAGCCTGACACGGGGCTTGAACCCATGAGCTGTGAGATCATGACCTGAGCTGAAGTTGTGTGCCCAAACAACTAAGCCACCCAGGCACCCCTTCCTGTCTTTTTAAAGAAATAAAAAAAAACAAACCTCACTATAAGTTACTAGCAGAAAATACAACATCGGTCTTAAACTACTAGAAATAGGCAGAGTGACGTCTTTTTCCTTGTTAATCTAGAATTTTATGAAACATATTTCATAACAACAGCATTAGAGCAAGAATAAAGATGGCTGTTAGTGACATTAAAGATGTACTCAATTAGCATGGAAAGTATATCACAATCCCTTAGGCACCCAAGCTAGAAATTTGGAATTATTCTTCATTCTTCTGCTCTTCATTTAGCCTGGCGTAATGTCTCTGAAGTTCATCTCTTTCCCATTTATAGCATCACTTCCAGTATCTCTTAACAGTGTGACTGCAGCAGCCTCTGGATTGGCCTCCCCACCTCTAGTCCTGTGCCTCTTTAGGTTCTCTCTGACACTCATACTACAAATATTTAACCAAAACTTGGGTATCTCGCTATGCATCCCAAGAAGAAAGCTACAGCTTCTTAACATGGTAACATGTTTTACAGTGACTTCTGTGATACGGCCAGTGCTTATCTTTCCATGTCTCTCTTGCCATTCATGTCTTGAAATTCCTATGTGGGGTCACAGCAGTGCTTGTAGTTCCTTTGGGCATATGGTGCTGTGTCCCTCTTTCACCTCTGTGCATGCTGCCTGAATGCTTTTTGCCAGACTGTCCTTCTTTCTTTCCTTTTGACCTTGCTAACCTCACTGCTTCTCCTATAAGGCCCAGGTGGGGTGTTACCTCCTAAAGGAAGTTGTCCCTGTTGACACTCTCATCTCAGAGTGAATTAGGCACCTCTCCCTGATCCTTCTATAATTCACTTTCATCACTGTTTTTAATTAATTCTTTAAAAACTATTTATTTTGAGAGAGAGAGTGAGCACACTAGCAGGAGAGAGAAAGAGAGGGAGAGAGAGAATCTCAAGCAGACTCTGAGTTGTCAAAACAGACCCGACGCGAGGCTTAAACTCATGAACTGTGAGATCATGACCTGAGCTGAAATCAAGAGTTGGACACATAACCAACAGAGCCACTCAGACACCCCTCTAATAAATTCTAATAAATTTCTTAGTCCCATAGAAAACCAAGAGATCCTTGAGAGTAGGGAGTGTGCCTCATTCTTCATTATATTCTCATTATTGGTGTACTTTGTGGCATGTAATAGGCCCCCAGTAGATGTTTATGTAATGAGTAAATAAGTGAATTCTCACATCAGACTGGTTCATGGAACCATATGATTTTAATTTGTCATTTTTCTGTGTTTGAATGAACTTTTAATTGCTCCTTCATAAACCCCTTTGAAAAGTTGAGCACAAAATATAGAATTGCTTTGGGCATCAGTTTAAGAAGACAAGCACCTGATTTAGTTTTTCTGCATATTTTATTACTACTGCTACTACTCATGACTTGCCTTTTTGGGAATAAAAAACATGTTCTTTAGGGGCACCTGAGTGGCTCAGTCATTTGAGTCTCGAATTCTTGATTTTGGCTCAGGTCATGAGCACTGACAGTGTGGAGCCTGCTTGGGATGCTCTCTCTTTCTTCTCTTTCTGTTCTTCCTTCTCTCACTCTCTCTCTCAATCAATCAATCAATCAAAATTAAAAAAAATAAATTTAAAAGTTTCTTTAATTTTATATGGCAATTTTATATGGGAATTTAAGCCTTTAAGAATGAAGAGAGGGGTGCCTGGGTGGCTTAGTCGGTTAAACGTCCGACTTTTGCTTAGGTCATGATCTCACAGTCTGTGGGTTCGAGCCCTGTGTTGGGCTCTGTGCTGACAGCTCAGAGCCTGGAGCCTGCTTCAGATTCTGTGTCTCCCTCTCTCTCTGCCCCTCCCTTGCTTGCTCTCTGTCTCTCTCAAAATAAAATAAAGACATAAAAAAAAATTGTTTTTAAAGGATTAAGAGAAAGTATTAATCATTTTAGACTTAGATAAAACTGTGTCTGCTTTGCGTTGAATTCAGACATTTAAGTGACTTTTAGAAAAGTTCATCTATTCTAACTTTATTAATACAAGGTACTGGGAGAAAATATGAAATCACATTGTCAAAGTGTCAGAAATAGGATGACTGGAGGGGCGCCTGGGTGGCTTAGTCGGTTAAGCGTCCGACTTTCGCTTAGGTCATGATCTCACGGTTCGTGGGTTCGAGCCCCGCGTCGGGCTCTGTGCTGACTGCCAGCTCAGAGCCTGGAGCCTCTTTCTGTCTGTGACTCCCTCTCTCTCTGACCCTCCCCTGCTCACGCTGTCTCTCTCTCCTAGAAATAAATAAAACATTTTAAAAAAAAAAAAAAGAAATAGGATGACTGGAAAAATCTTGTTTGCTATTCAAGTATTACATCACACATTCATAATGAAACAATTTTCTTAAAAAGAAAGAAGGAAGAAGATGACAAGAAAGATATAATTAATTGAACATGGAATGTCTTATCACATGATAATCTTTATATGTTTGAATCTCAAGGTCAGCTCTAAAACTGTGATTATCCACTTGTCTTTTAGAAAGGTTTTTAAGAAAGTTTAGATGATGACACACCCCTTGACAGATATAATTTCATCAGGAAACCAAATTTTGCCAATATCTTTACTGTATAGCAGTATAGGAAACTAAAAATTCAGGGGAAATCTTTTTTCTTCCATTTGATGAGGATAATTTTTTTCCCAGAGAATCGCATTTCACCCAAATGCTTCTCTTTTTATGTGGATAGTTGAAAAATCCCATGATAATTTCTGCCTTAGGTTTCCCGAATAGCATGCACATGGAGCTTGCAGCATCCAATTTAAGCTACCAATGCCCTGATTTTACCTACCCTAATCAACACAGGATAAAAACAGGCTAGCTTAAATTGTTTATAAATTTGACACATGTTGCATATAGAAAGCTTGTATAATAGAGAAAACTCAGCTATAGAAAAAAAAATCACCCATAATTTTATCACTCAGAATAATCACTGTTACAAGCCTTTGGCATAGTTCCTTTTTGTTTAAAAAATTAAAAAAGTATTACGATGAGGGGGACCTCAGCCAATACTTGACTACTACCTATATCTGCAAAATTCTTATTTCATTCATCCTTTTTACTGTATTGGTTGTCAATCCTTACTGTATTCTCAACACATGCTGATCCTGAAATGTCTACACTCACATGCTTGAGTGTTGATGTGATTCTGTGAGCATTTTGATAGTATCCTGATAGTAGTATCTTTGCATTTGCATTGTGAGCTGTCTACTTGGGGTAGGTGGGCACCCTGCTTTCTGAGCCTATGAACTGTATTTTCAACATAGTCTCCTGCCTTTGCTTTTAAATGTCCTCACTCATCTTTGGTAAATGTCAGTGGATCGTTCTGTGTTTGGCAGTAATTATAAAGTAATATCTTTTCCCCTTCACAGCTGGGAGAACATGCTCAAGCCATCAGATTACATGCTCCAATGGTGAATGTATCCCAGAAGAATACAGGTGTGACCACGTCAGAGACTGCTCAGATGGAACTGACGAGAAAGATTGCCGTGAGTCCCTTTCAGTCTTTGCACTGTGTTTGCTTTCACCTTTGTCCTTTTGGCATTTTAATCAATTTGTTAGATTTGTTGATGGACAGAAATGCCTACAATATGCCTCTTGTTATTGAAATCTCTTGGCAGATTCTTTGGTGGATTAGAGGTGATATTTTGATAGGAGACTATTTTTAGCAAGACATTCTAAGTGTGTTCTGCCTTAGCACATCAAGTTTCTGTATTTTTTGAAGAGACTTTTAACATTAACATAGAATCCTGAAAGGTTCTTGAATACATTGAATACAAAATTCAGTTTGGCTAATGTTGGGTTTTATTGAATTATGTTAAATTTCTAGGCCAAATAAAGAGAGGGAGAGAGACAGAATACCAAACTGTCTTTGGTATTGTAAAACCAAGGCTTTACATTGGTTTGAATTCTCGAACTGCAAGATCATGACCTGAGCTGAAATCAAGAGTTGGATGCTTAACTCAGGCACCCCATACACATGGTGTATTTAAAAAAAAAAAAAAAACCACTTCTCCTTTACTGCTTTCTTCCCTTGGGTCTTATTTTTCTTTGAGAAAAATATTGCTATTTGTCTTTGTATCTCTGTTTCCTAGCAGAATTGCTGGTACAGTTGTGTTGTGGTATAATTTCCAACTAAAATGTTGGAAGAGATTATGTTGCCTCTAATTGGGGTCTCTTTTCAGTTTGGAAATTTTACAGAATTACTGGTAATTTTAAAGATGGTAGTGTATGTCTGAATGTCACAAAATAGCAAATCCATGAGTCAAGTACTCTTACTCAGTACTTTGTAAAGCAAACAATAGATCCTTCATTGTAGCAAGTGAAGAAAATGTTTTTGACTAAATAATAGTGATGAATCATATGTTTTATAGTATTTTGTAAACTGCAAGTGTTATGTAAATTCTGGTTGTTATTCTTAATTAGGTTCCTCAATGAGGACAATAGGGCAAGTGTTAATATTCTTTCATAAATAAACTAAAATTGCGAAGAGTAGAATGGCTTGTTTAAGGTTGAGAATGTGTGGCAGAGCTAGGGCTAAATCCATCTTCTGGTTCCAAGTCTGGTGATTGCTCTTCATGACTTTATTTACAGAAGGAGAAAGTTCTACTTTGTTCAAGTTTAAGGGAGAACTAGAGGCTGTGCCACCAGCCAACAGTCTGTGTCTTTATCCCTATTTTACAAGTGGATAAAAATGGGTGCTTTATTGGAAATGCAATGAAACTGAAGGGAATGCTACTCTAGGGAAAATAAAAGGCAACTGAAACAGACTGGATTTATTCCATGTGAACACCCAGCAGCCAAGTCCAAAGCCACCAGTACCACCGCCTCACGACTTTGCCAGTAGACCTTCCGGAAAAAAGCTGGCTGGGTACGAGCAAGCAGGCAGCTGTTATAGAAAGGGGCAAAGGAAAGGAAGCGAGTGAGCTTTATAAAATATCTTAGCAGGAATTTTTAATCAAGTTTTTGTTTATTTTTTTAAGTGCAAGTAATAGGTGCAATGAGGATTTCTTAAGGAAAGAGAGCCAGATTTATATGATAGTTAATTGCTCCTGGAATTGTACAAGTTATGAATCCTTCAGGGTTCATGGCCCTAAGATGAATCTGACACATGCAAAGAGGGGTTTTGTAATGAAGTATTCTTTCGTTTTTCTCTTTGCCTTATTTATTTATTACTAGGTGTTATTTATGGAGGAGTATAAAAAAGATCTAACAAATCAGGAAGTTAAGAAAAGAATCTTCATACTTTGTGCTTTGATCTCCCGGCCACAGCCAGATTTGTACAAGAAAGAAAATAATGGCCTGGATCAAAGTCTTTGGAAGGTGCTAATATAAGGAGACAGATTGGCCTCATTTTGTTTTCCCTTTGTCTGCAACTCTTGCAGGAAGTAAGGAAGAGAGCTGTCATTTGCTGGGCACCAATCACTATTTTATGCAACTTTTACATCAATAACATAAGGTAGTTGTGATGACATCTCCTCAGGCCTTTAACCTAGATCTAAACTGTATGCCCATGCAGGATTTAAATATTATCAAAAGCAGAGTGAATTGATAATGAACTCCTATGAGGGGCGACTCATAACCCAGTTATATCAATTACCAACTCATAGCTAAGTTTGTCTTAACTATATCTCTTTATTATTATGAATTTGAAGCAGTTTTCACACATTATATAATCTTTATTTATTTCTCTAAATGTTTAGTTATTTTTGAGAGAGAAAGAGAGAGGGAGTGTATGAGCAGGGGAGGGGCAGAAAGGGAGAAGCGGAGAGGCCCAAAGCCAGCTCCAGGCTCTGAGCTGTTAGCACAGAGTCCAAGAGAGGACTGGAACTCATGGATTGCTAGATCATGACCTGAGCTGAAGTTGGATGCTTAACCAACTGAGACACTCAGATGCCTGTATTTTATTTTATTTTTGAGAGAGAGAGAGAGAGGGTGCAAGTGAGTGAGTGGAAGAGAGAGAGAGAAACCTAGGAGGGGCAGAGAGATTGAGAGAGAGAGAGAGAGAGAGAGAAGTGGGCTCACTGGAAGCAAACTCCTGTTTTTCCTGAAGTGGGGCTCAAGCTCACCCACTGTGGGACTTGAACTTAATGAACAGTGAGATCATGAACTGAGCCAAAGTCAGATGCTTAATGATTGAGCCACCCAGGTGCTCATAATCTTATCTTTAAATAATTCAATATTTAACTCAAATGTAAGGACTGAAACAATATCATGACCACACCTAAAAGTTAACAACTGTTAAAATAATCAGTTCTTAAAATTCCCCAGAAGGTTTGTTGTTATTTTTTATGGTGTCATTTAAAGCAAGGTCCAAATAAAATCTATTCATTGGAATTAGTTGCTGCCTTTTGATTTGTAGGTTTGCCTTCCATTTCATTGTTTACCCTGTGCAATATGTTTGGTGAAAAAAACAAATTACTGGTCCTCCATTTCTCATAGTCTGGGTTTTGCTCATTGTATCCCCAGATGTCCTTTCACATGTTCTTCTGCCCTTTGTAGTTTTTGGTAGCTATATCTACAGCAAGGTTCCTCAACTTTGGTACAAATGACATCAAGGGCCAATAAGTCCTTATTCCAGGGAGCTATCTTATACATTGTAGAATGTCTAACAGTATCCTGGCCTCTCTCCATTAGAAGCCAGCAGTACCTCCCATTTATGACAACCAAAATTGCTAAATGTCCTCTGGGAGCAAAATTTCCCTTTACTACTCTAGTTGAGAATGACATTAGCCTAGAGGCTTTAACAGATATAAGGACTTCTTGTGTGTGTGTTTGTGTGTGTGTGTGTGTGTGTGTGTAGGGGCGACAATACTTTGAAAATAATGGTTTATATTTCCATTAGAGGGCACATAATGTCTAACTATCAGTCACTGATGATTGTTGCTAAGATCCATTTAGTCACAGAGATACTTAGCTATTTTAAATGTCACTTCAAATATAATAGCTGTTTATTAGTTGTTTTGAATTGTAATGTTACAGTATGATGAAGGATTAAGCAAGGCTTGCCCAGAAATCATTTTTGAGAGACATGACACTTTATTCGATTGTTTCTGCTGTCATGGTGTAGGAATCATTACTTGTGGACAAACACAGGATCAGCCTATGAGTGTGACTTCCATTTCTATATTTCTCAGAAATAAGATTGTCTACAGGAAGGGGTCTAAATAGGTTAGGCATCTAGAAATCACTTAAATATGGTAAATTTGTTGAAAAAGCTCCAAAGAAGGACTTAATTCATTTCCCCAAATATTTGAAAGGATCAGGAAGCTTGACCCTGTCGTTCATAGTCCTGCCTGTCAGATCAGACCCCTAGGGTACAGTTCTTACCCTTTCAAGCTTCTAAGATGAAGATACTGAGCTCCAACATAGAGCACCTTATGTCTATTCTAGGCCTTCCTTTTACACGACAAAGACATGGGTGTAAGAGTTCTCTCAGGGCGGCATGGAGAAGGGAGGGAAGAGAATGGACCTGATGATGAGGAAGGCAAACATAGTAAGATCCCACTAAAAAGATTATCCTTGACATAAATTTTGTGTTGTATGAAAGCTTCTCATATTGCTTTGTCTTTTTGTCTGCTGTGTTCCAAAATGCATAAAGTATTTTTTTATTATTCTACTGTGAGAACTATTTCCATATATATGTAGTATAACAAGCTGCAAAACCGGTAAACGTTCATGTTCCCAAAGTTATTTTATTCCACAGTCTGGCTATCTGTAAAATCGCACCTACTATTGAATAGCTTGTCGATTAATTTTTTTCCCTCAAGGAACAGGAGATTCAAAACCACAGTCCAGGATGTGAGGGCGATCTGGCTGCGACATCTGTCACCCCATTGATCGCCAGGGTTGATTTGGCTGATCTGGCTGGCTAGGCGGGTGTCCCCTTCCTCCCTTAACGCTCCATGTTCGTCCCTCCTGAAGCCGCGCGCTCGGTCGAAGAGGACGACCTTCCCAGATAGAGAAGGACCGTTCTTCGGTCAAGAGTATAGTAGCTGCGCCCCCCTGCTAGAACCTCCAAACAAGCTCTCAAAACTGCAGTCCATTTTACTTCTAATGGGATTAGCATCAAGGAAAAATCACTCATGCAGAGTCCAAGATAAACATCAGAACAATGCAGCAATTATGGGTCATTCAGTTAGTATATTGCAGTGACTTTAAGTTGTTTCAAAAATAGTACAGTTTTTCCTAGTTAAGAGAACAGATTATTTTGTTTTTATCAAATACCATATTAGAGTTATTTTGGTGTGAGTAAAACTATTGCTAATTATCACTGGTTTGCAGTACTTCTCTTTTGATACTTAGGAATGCCAAAGAAAGGGTAAAATCCCTGTTACAATGAAGGCTTTCTTGCTGGTAATCAGCAGTATTTGGTCTGCCTGCAACTGGGGCTGCTTTGTCCATGAAGTTTTATTTCTACTGACTTTCTGTTCTTTAGAATTCAAACATTTTCCTTTATATATCTAATTGCTGAAACTCCAAATGGGAA